CCAGCTTGCTCTAAGCTTCATTACTTCACTAATTTTGCACACTACTATGTTAGCATTAGGACTGGCATAAATAACAGAAATACCTAAACAGTTTAAATTAGATGGAAGTACATTTCACTGCCATATAAATAAACTAGAAATAAAATCAAGGGACAGAGTGAAGGTTGTAACATCACCAGGGACCTAATCTCTTTCTGTCTCATTATTCAGCTGTCTGACTTTCATTTCCAAGGTCATCTTATGCTTAAATATGGATGCCAGAATGCCAGCTATTTCAGTCCTCTTTATGCTTGCATCCTATTTGGCAAGACTGACACGATATAAGGCATTTCTTCTCTCTTGAAAACACTTGCCCAGAACTTACAGTTATTTCAAAGTAAGAAAAAAAAGTTTAAATAACAAGGTGAAACTTCCTAAGTTATACACATAATTTTCTGCTAATATTTAATCCACTATCATACAGCTATACTTAACCCCAAGACAAGGTGGAAACTGCGGTCTTTATTTGAACAATTGTGTACTTAACTAAAATTAATTACTTAAGAAGGGTAAAATAGATATCTGGAGACAACTATAAGTTTCTACTACAGTTCCCTATAGCCTACTGTGTGTACAGCAAATCATGATTACAAAAATACACATCAGATCACATTACAACCTTTTGTAAGATCTTTCAGTAGAATCCCATGAAATGTAACTAAATCTGCTCTCCTAGCTGTGGCTTCTGAGGTCCTATGGGATCTGGCACTTGATCACCTTTCCTACTCTTGATTGCTATTGAGGGCTACAAAGACTTTCCTTCTGTTACTTGAGCACAAGCTAATCCTTGCCTTAGAGAATAAGTCAGTGATGGTGAACGTTCTTGAGACATAGCCAAACTGTAACCCCAAATCCACTTTTTACTGAAAAGTGCCAACACTAAATACTGAGGTTTTAGGTTAGAAAAAGTAAATTATCCACTGCTCTGGTAATTGGGTAACTGGGCAGAGAGGGCTTTGTGTGCCTGCTGTGGCACCTGTGCCAAGGTTTGTCACCACTGGACTAAGGCATCCTTCGGCCTGGAAATGTCTCTGCGTGGCTGATTTGTCATTCAGGACTTTTAGGCTTTCTGGCTCTAAAGCAGATCTACATTTTCTCCTGCTTCTTGGTTTTCATTATTGCTTATACTGTTTGGTATTTTGGGGCCTGATTCAAAGACATGTCTCTAATGACTGGCCCATGCAGCATAGATTATATGAATTCCTGAAGTGACCAGGTTTGATGTTGAGTACACAGCTTAAAGACAGCCCTGTACTAACTGACAAGCACATACCTCAGTGTAACAGAAGCCAGCTATATGACCCAGCTTTTTATTTGAGTATAGATCAGGGGATGGGAAAAGAACAGACATTTTTCCCCTTGCTTTTCTTCAGATACTCAATAGCTACTAGTATTTTCTTCAAGCTTGCTCTATGTACTTTGGTTAGTAATTAAATATGTTCCTTTCCAAACCTTCCTGCTGTAAGCTTCTAAATGTTTCACACAAGATATGTTGAAGTTAATATAACATGTCAGAATTTAACAACCCTAACTGGTTTCCCTGAACATAAACTGTTTTCTATAGCAGCAGAATGGAATACAATTAGAGACAGTGTACGACTCGACATAGCAGTAACCTCTTTTTTAAAATAAACTATGTTTCAAAGGACAAAGAGTACCTCAAATCAACCAAATTCAATCTTCTTACTTGAGAAAGAAGACGAATGGTGCCTTAAGAACACTCCAGCCTACATATGCTAATCTCACTGCCAGTCACTTTTCTAGGAAAGAATAACTGCAGTAGAGTGCTTTCTATTTCCTGCAGAATGTGAGAAACTCTTTGTTAGTCAAAATGCTCTGAGATGATAATTTTGTATGCGCTATTTTGATTAAAGGAGTCCACCTCCGACATCCACAATTGTCATCAAATTTTAACAAGATCCGATTATACCTCAAAGAGTACTTGGTATCTTCTAGGGCTGTATTAAAAACAATACATTTTAATGTCCTTTGGATCAGGGAAAAAAAATGGAACTTTTACATTAATGTGCTATAATCTGCAATTTTGTAAGCAATATAACAAACTTCAAAAAGTGTCATGTTCTGGGTAGTCACCCAGGTGTTTGGGGTTACTAAGAGAGCAAATCCTTCCACCAATCATATCAACCCTACTCTCATCTATTTTTTTTTTGTTTCACATACTTCCTCAAAGAGTACCTTTGAAAGAGTCCTATTAAAAGAAGTTTGAAGAGCTCCTGAAACAGATCACATTTTAGGATTTTCCCTTCCAATTCAGATTATAACCAGGATCTCAAAGTGCCTCATGGATGCATATTTTGTAACATCAATAATTATTCTGCAGGAGCATAAATAGAAAAAAAAATGATAGGAGTTTGTGCTTATCTGTTGGGGTTACTGCCACAGCATAGAACTTGGGTTGTTGTTTCAAAATTTTAGATATGAACTTTACTTACAGTGTTTCACTTTGCTTTCTTACTCCAAAAAGGACTGAATGTCAATTTGATTTGAACTCGATTTGTAATACACGCATTTTTTCCTAGAAGAAGAGGCTTCAAAATATAAACTAACTTTGACGTTTTACTATTAATAGTGTTAAAACAGCTTTGCCACCCCTTAGCTATTGGTAATACCTATAATTATGCAAAAAGTTAATTTTTAATAAGATTGTACTAAAATGTTATTGACACATAGCTTTTCAGTACTATATTTCTGTATAGTTAATGTTTTTAATGGAGACTGAAGACTAAAGAATAAAAAAATAATATAAGTATCAGACAAAAATTTTGAAATAAAGTACCCAGGGATATTCATGCTCAATTATATCACAAATTTAACCAGTTTGTATGGTTTTAAATATTGCTAAGTCTAATAGGATCTTCTTGTAGCACATGTGCATATAATAAAAAATAATTTTATAATCCCCATTTAACATTTTTAAAGGATCATAATGCTTTGCCACCTTAGAAGGTTAACACAAATTTTGTAAGACCTAGAATAGCAATAAACAGTTAAAAGTGAATTATTCAGTACCATACACAAGAGTTTTAAAAACCTAAGAGGAGTTACCTTATTCTCAATGCTGAAAGTAAAACAAAAAGAATCAACGGCATTAAAAAAACAAAACAAACAAACAAACAAAAAAAAACTACAGAGATTCATTATGGCTATTTTAGTAGAAACTGAACATAATATTCCAAACAAGGCTTCCCACTGGTAGTCCCACAATTATGCAAGTATTAAATAGTTGTTTTGGATAAGAACCTCTGATACTGAAGCACCTCACCTTATCTGTGATCCCATAGGAAAAAAGAAGCAAATTTTGTTAGTTTTTAAAAATCTTTTAGACCAATTTCTGGCACTCACACACACATACCACAGAAAACTTATAACTTGCTTTTGTAGTAAACCTATATAGTCTATGTTAACCTTTAAAATACTCCAGGTGTAGGTTGAGTAATATTAAATAAAGAATAGCCAAACACTACATCCTTAGTTCTGCCTTCATTACCAAATCCCGTCCTGAAAGGTGCAATTCAGTGCCACACAGCGGCCACAGAGGGCAGTGTGTACCGACGTAAAGGCGAGATAGAGGCGCAACTCCCTTCCTCAACAGCGGAGCAGCTACAGAGTCTTTCTCTGCCCAGGCTGCTGAGTCTTGCCAAGTTGTGCAGGTGAAGCTGGGATACAGATCCTTATTTCTTCGAGGAGGTACTGGAAAGATGCTGATGGTTATGATGCTGATAACCCTAGCATGGTGCAGACACAACCCGAACAGAAGAAAATATGGCTAAGTAGCATCATCAGAAATCCTACTGTCCATGTGATTTATTATAAAAAGAGTAAGACAAAATCTTAAATGCTCAAAGAATGACTAAGAAGTTACATAGGGCTACAGAATTTCAGAGGTTATTGTATTACAGTAAATGAACCAATAAGGATTTATGCACTACTTGAAATGTTCACCTAACGTCCTATTACCTTAGTACATAGTGAAATATAAATACGTTTTAAATGATTAATATTATCAATTAGGAATTTAGCATATTTGTCCAAAACGTAATCCGTCCAGGCAAAATTATGCTTCACTTTTTAATAAAACGAATTTTTAAAAGTGTTAATGTAAGGTAAGAAAAACACCATTTGTCACTGTACAAATATTAAGATAGTGATAAACTACTCACGTCAACGTTAATGCAAAGCTTTAACGTCCTCCTTAGTATAAAGAGAGGATATCTGCTAACATTACAAGTAATCAGACATGCTATTTGCAAAGAAATCAGCGAGGAGAAAAAAGGAAGTCCTCCGCTGGGCGGTGGTTCGTCCTTCCCCAGGAATAAAAGGATTTATTCGAGTTTCAGAAGCAACTTTGTATCCCAATCTAAACGACTGGAAATTTCATCTGAAGAACACCTTCCTGAAATGTAAACTGACCAGTGTGTTTCAGTGCTTCGTGCACTGGTAAGCCGACTCTTCTGTTCCGTGCAACACACTGGAATCTGGTGGGCGGAGGGGCGCAGGGTCCTAGGGAGGGCGCAGGGGCCGCTGGCTGGGTCGGCGAGCCCGGAGCCCGGAGCCCGGAGCCCGGAGCCCGCAGTGGTGCCGCAGCCTGTGCGGCCGCAGCAGGTGGGACTGGGCCGCCGGCGGCGCCCGGGCTCTTCCATAAGCTCCGCGACGTCTCCAGCGGAGCTTTTGTGGATTGCGTGGAATTACTTTTCACTATTAGGTTTGGAGAAGCCTTGGCCTTCGCCGCACTGACCTGTGCCCACAACTTTGCAAAGCCGAGTGCGGAATCCTCCGGGGAAGCGCGAAGGCAGCGGCCTCACAGGGCCCCCGCCGTCCCCGGCTCCGTCCCCTTCCCCGCCAGGCGCGCCGGGCTGGAAGGAGCTAGCCAGCAGGGAGTGAGGCGCCGCCACACAAAGGGGCGCGTCGGGGCGCCGGCCTCGCCCGCAGGGGGCGCTTACCTTTGAGGACCGCGCACAGCTGCTCCAGGGCCATATTCGCGACCGCGGGTGTTTCGGAGGGGCCGAGGCAGCTCAGGGCGCGGCGCAGCAGCTGTCCCGCTCCGTCCCCATGGTGGCCCCGGCCACCCCGCGGCCCGCCATGGCCGCGCCCCGCGGCGGGCTTCCTCGCAGCACACTCGCCCCGACGGCCACCAACTCCCGCTCGGCGGCGCTGCGTCCCATCGACTGTCAGGGAGCCGAGGGGGCGCCGACGCGCAGCGGAACTCGCGAGCCTCTCGGCTCCGTGCCGGGCGCAAGCTTCGCTAAAGTGATGCGCGCGAGGCGCCTCAGCTCATTTAAGCAGGGAGCGCGAGCGCCGCGTGCCGGCCGCGCCGCCGTGCGCATGTGCGTGCCCCGCCCCGCCTCCCGCGCCCCGCCCCACCAATCACTGGGCGAGTAGCCAGTGGCTTCGCGCCTGCCCCGCCTGCGAGCCCCTGTAGCGGGGCGCAGCTTGGACCCTTAAAGCTAGGGGCGAGGCCTGGGGGGGAAGGCTTGCCGGACCCCGGGGTGGTGGAACCTCTGTGGTGGTGACCGCCACCAGCTCTGTCCCGCGGGGCTACCTGCCGTGGCCTCTGCGCCAGGTGAGTGCACCCAGGGTCCAGGCCGACCCCTTCCAAGCCTCGCACGGACGCGCACTCAGCCTTCCCGCGTCCCCGCGCACCCCCCCAGCAGCAACGTGGACAAGGGGGCGGGTCGTGGATCTGGGGCTCCCGCCCCAGGCCGCGCTCACCGGTTGCTGGACGCGGTGTGACAGCGTGCACATCCGCCTCCTCCTGTCGCTTCAGCTCAGCTCGCGCTTCAGAATTACCTACTGCAGCGATTGCCGGGTCCCCGCTCCACCTAACAAGTTGCGAAAGGCGGGAGGCTGCGAGCGTGAAGTCTCCTGCCCGCAGGGCGGGGGCGCTGCGGCTTGGAAGCCGGGCGCCCGGGACGGGGAGGCCCACGGGACGGTGCTGGACCGGATCCCCACAGGGGCCCTCTCTGGTCCGGAGTCGGGCCTCGCTGGGCGGCGGTCAGGAGCCGTGCTGGCTTGGTGTGTGCGCGGGGAGGGGCAGGAGAGAGCCAGGTCTCTCGGGACGGTCACCAACAAGTGGATGCGCCCAAGAACAAAGCGGCAAATGAAGCCTTCGCAAAGCTTTCCCACAAACCCTGTATAGCACCGGGGCAGTGAGTACGGAGGAGGACTGTCGAGACTGTTATAGACAACAATGGGCAAAATCGCGGGAGGACAAGGCTCTCGGAGCTTCTGGACAGCGATAAATTCTTCATTAGGAGTCCCCGGCTGAAGGAAGTCAGTGCAGGCGTGGTGTTTGAGAAGACATGCGACAAGTAGAAAAGAGGTCTCGGAGCAGAACCCGGCAGGTGGGGTCAAGGATGAGGCATGGATTTGGAGGAGTGTTGTTCTTGGTATTAAATATAAGGTTGAATGTGTGTGTTTTGATAATGGAGATATCCTCACGTCCCAGTTTCTGGGCAGGATTGTTTCTGTGCTCTCCTCGCTCCCCAAACTGGCAGGTGCTCTAGTCCCTACTAGGAAATGGTATATTTGCATATAACTTACACACATCCTTCCTTACACACTATTATTTATTTTTTTGCTACAGGAGACTAGACTCAGGGCCTTCACACTGAGCTACACAGCTATATTTGGAGAAGGCTCATTTTATTTATTTTTTAAACGACAGTCTGACTAAATTACTGAATTGTCCAGACAGGTCGTTTATTGTTCTGCCTCAGCCACCCAGAGTGCTGGGATTATAGGCACGCATTGCCATGCCTGGTCTCTGTTGTCATTTAAATCATCTGTAGATCATATACCCAGCATAATGAAAATACTGTGTAAATAGTTGTTGTATTCTCTTGATTGGGAAATAATGACAAAGGAAGAAAACGGTCCTATGTTCAGTACAGACACATTAAAAAGGTTCTTTTTCTTTCTCTCTTTCTCTCTCTTTTTTTTTTTTTTTTTTTTTTGAGACAGTGTCTCAGTATGTATCCCAGGCTGACCTTGAACTCACGGTAATCCTTTTGCCTTAACTTCCCAAATTCTGGGATTACAGGTGTGTGCTACCACACCTGACCTAAAAAAAATAAAATATCTGCCCTTAGTTGAATTCTTGGATGTGGTACCCTCAAGATTCAAAGGGTAGTCTGTGATCGCTGGAAAGCTGGGCAGATGCATTTGTTCTTTACTAACAAGGCCAGAGAGATAGTTTTTAACAGTGGAGTGGTGGTTCTAGGAGAATTAACGTGGCAATGAAACTGAGGATAGATTAGAGAACCATAGAATTCAGAAAAAATTCAAGAACTTCTTCATTGTTTACTTTTACAGGTAGTATCATTTTGATGAAATCTAAGAAAATAATTTTTTAAATGTATTTGGTATAGACTGTACAGTGTCTATAGGGTCTCACTATGTAGATCAGACTTGTAGTGATCCTCCTGTTTACAGCCTGCCAAGTGCTGGGATTACAGGTGCACACCCCATGTATATAGAACTTGTAGTGATCCTCCTGTTTATAGCCTGCCAAGTGCTGGGATTACAGGTGCACACCCCCACACCCAGTTTCAGTCATGGTCTCAGCGTGTTTAATAGTGTTGCATGGCAGGCCAGAGGATCGAACCCCCGGTCCCTGCATCTGCCTGGAAGGCACTTTAATCCGCTGAGCTATCTAGCCAACCTGAAAATTTTTTACTAGTATGATGGCTTGGGAGCGTAGCTTTTGTGGCTCCCTGTTAAGACTGTTTAAATATACTGTATAATCATAGTAGATTTTTTTTTTCAAGGAATGTAGTAGAGCACAGATCATAGGTAAGACTACTGTGCAACCATATGTTAGCTAAATCCAAAGGAAAGCAGTTTGTATATCTCTCACCTGGGGTGTTCTGTATTTGAGTTATTATTTTTCCGGAAGGCCACCCGGCAGTACCCAGTCTGTTCCCAGATTACCTGCCAGTTTTAAGGAAATGGAGGACTTAATTTTCATTGCATCCTGCCCAGTCTTCCAGGTAGAGGTGTAGCCTCTCCAACTCTTCACAGTCACTCCTATAGTTTAAATTAGGGCTTTTTTTCCCCAAGTCTCATGTAACACTTTAATAGTGTTGCATGATACTTATGAGAATGAAATATTTTTATGATGCTTTTAATTTTAATGTCTATGTATGTAACATCTTTTTGTGTCTCTTGCTGTTGTGTGGGAGCTCCAACAGTTTATTGCAGGATAACTTATGAAACCAGTTGCTGTGTTTAGAGATTGCTGTTGACTAAATCTATTCTCTCCAAGTGCATATTGAAGCCCTAACATGAACCGTAGATATATGTGAAAATGGTAGCTTCTAAAGGAATCATCAGAGTAGGGCCCTGATCTGATAGAGGAGCGGGCTGGTTCTCTCTCCCCATACACAGCCGCCGAGGTTAGGCCATTGGAAGACCTAGTGACATGATGGCCATCTGCAAGTGAAGGACAGAGGCCTTGTCAAGTCACCAGCTGGTGACTTGGTCTGGAACTTCTGGCCTCTAAAATGCTGTGAAAACATATCTATTACTTACTCAGTCTGGTATTTTTTTTTTTTTTTTTTGCGGCAGCCTGAGCTTACTAATACAGAGATATAACCAAGGATGAAAAGGGAAGTTATAAACTTTGATATACAGAAAATCTATTTGAAGGGCTAATGAGATAGCTCAGTGAACTAAGTGCCTGCTTTGGCAAACACAGGGACTGGGGCGTGCTGAGCCAGTGACCGAGTCTAGGTGTGGTGGCACATGCCTGTAATCCCAGCACTGGGGAGGCTGAAAACAGGAGGATCACTATGAGTTTGAGCTGTGTAGTGAGACCCTGTGCCAAGTACATAGATGAAAAAAAAAAAAAAGAAAAAATCTATTTGAACTAAAATATAGTACACTAAAGTGTGCTCCAATAATGGTGAAATTTAGTGAAAACCAAAATCAGGAAGGATTTTAGTGTATGAAGATGTCATTACACATATTTTAGGAGTAGAGAAGGAAAAGAAGGAGTATAAAATTTTTACAGCACATTATTTTTTTCTGCTTGGTCTGCCATGACAGAATACCATGCCATTGTGGTTTTTAAAAAAGACATTTGTTTTCTAGTCCTAGAGGCTGAAAGACTGAGATCCAAATGCCAGTGGGCCTCTAGAGAAGCACCAATTAAAACAACAGTGAGATTCCATCTGAAGAAAGAAAGCCATCATCAAGAAATCAAAAACATATGCTGTGTGTGAGAGGGACACTGTTAGTGGGAGTATATACTGGTAGACCACTATAGAAATCAGTATGGAGAGTCTTCAAAAAGTTGAAAAGAGAAATTTTATTTCATCCAGCTATTCTCCATCTAGATATCTCCCTAAAAGAGTTAAGCACCATATTACAATGGTATATACAATACCATGTTTATAACAGCACAATTTATAATAGTTGAATCATGAAGCCACTTATGTTCATCAATAGGTGAATAGATTAAAAATGTATTTATACAGGATGGAGCACTACTATGCCATAAAGAAGGATAAACTTGAGTAATTTGTAGGGAAATGGATGTACCTTGAGATCATAATGTTAATTGAAATAAATCAGACACACAAGCTTAAATATCATGAAAAACAATTATTGTAATCCAGCATGATCAATGTTCTAAAAGTACACCTTGATTATGATAATCGTTTTATGTGTTTTGTATGTTTTCTTATCAGTTAGTGTGGCTGTTGACCTATGTGTATAATTAAAACTTAAATTGGATACTGGCAAAAAAAATAGACATGTACATGTACCAACTCCCCACAGTAGATGTAATTATATATTGCAAGCATGTACTAATAAAAAAAAAAAGGAGAAAGAAAAAAGCAAAATTCAAAGTGCCAGTGGTTGGTTTCTGTTGTGCTCCTCCCTCCTGCTCACAGATTGCCTTGGCCCACTGTGTTCACAGCTTTTGCTTGTGCGCTTGTGTGCATGAGCATGCTTGGTGTCTGTCTCCTGAAGACACCACTCTTGTTGGATTAGGGCTAACCCTTATGCCTCACTTTACTTCAGTTATCTCCTAAAGGCTTTCTCTTATAAGTACGGTCATGT